ACTCAGTGCCGCCCTCAAAGCATGTCCAAGTACATCCAAACTTGCTCCTCAGACTGGTTTCAGGCTAAACTTGTTCTATCCTCTAGACTTTGATGTAGTGCACATTTAAAACATTATATTTATTTATTTGCTGTGCATACACAGACCTTTCTCCCTTTTCCCTGCAGAAACATATTAGACATTACAAAAATAATTTGTGGTATAAAAGAATTCTCACACAATGTAGAATTTCTGTTTGTATATGTAACTAAAATATATATATATATATTTTCCAAAAGTAAAAAAGTCAAAATGTCCTTATTTTCCTCTATTATATAGTCTATTTTATTTACAATGTTACCAAACAATATTCTGTATGTAAAAGTGATAATAGTTTGCGGGACACTTCACAAGCGGAGTGTGGCTTGAAGAGGACTGCAACAACAGCACTGTCACAACATTATCAACCAGCACCGTCCCCTGCAACACGAGTTTCTTCCACACTAAGTGAAACCAGACCTTTCCCCTGCAAAGCAGGGCAGGTTCTGACAGTCTGCCTAGAAAGTAGCACAAGAGGAATAAAACGCGTGTTCTCCAGTTTCTGTGCCGTGATATTAAGGGGGGTCAGGATTCCTAACGGCGAGGCCTGACCCAACCAAGCTGGAAATACCCCCAGTAACTCTGCACTGAGCAGATGGCAAAGCTTCTGCTGCTTCTACTGAAACCAACAACTTCCCAAGTGGAAACAGCATTGAGTCAGGAGACCCAAGGAAAACGCAGTGGAGTAACTGGGGGACGCTCACGGACCTTCTCTTCGAAACAAACGTACACAAAGATCTCAGCATTTCCATAGGTGTAACTTTAGCGTAGTATATTCTGTAAGAGAATTTCAGCTGAAGAACGAGGCAGAATTAAAAGTGGTTTTCTTTTACCTTAAATAGAGAAAACTTCATGATCAGGACTAGCTAAAATCATCACAATGAATAATCCTGGTACTACGCAGTAGTTAAGACTGGTCTAGACTGTAGCTAGACCTAACAGTTAGATGGTTATACTGGTTTGTAGCCATCTCTTGTAGCACGCACATATACTTCACCACGAGCCACGTACAATTTCCAGCCTTGCTGTAGAAATGCAATTTCATTAGCAAATCTATCATCTCAAAAGAAGCAAGTTTAGCTCCTGTGGTATTTCCAGTTTCAATATGTAAGCTCAAACTTTCTCCACCTAGGAAACCAGCCCAGCCAGCGCAATCAATTAATTCATAAAGGGAGTAACACCAGAGAGATGGGGAATCCTGGCTCCTAAAGACAAGAATTTTACCTGGGATGTTCAAGGTTAGTATTTACCTAAAAACTGCCATACAAGAGAGGAAGGTCGATGATAAAATTCTGCAGCAACGTTTTAGAAGAGCTACTGCTTCCAAGTCTGAATGGGAAGTGAAATTCAGTGCTTGGGAAGTAGCGTAAGAGATGTTGCACCAAACATATTCAAGGGAGTGTTAAGAGGAAAAGAGACACAGTTCCTTACTACAGCTACACCTATGGATGTGCCCGATTGCTGAATTGGAAAAAGCCTCCGCAGTACTGAACAGAACCAAAATCATGTCAATGAGAGTTCAGATGCTAAGATTAGCGGTGAGGAAACTACCTGCTTGGCAGCTCAAGTGCTGAAAGACCAATAAGTTCATCAGAGCTTGTCTTCATTAATAAAATAAATAAATACCAGCTTAAAGGAACAGCTTTAGCCATACTGGTACACATTTGCAAATAAGCAAAACTTCAGGATTTCCTTCTCTGCTGCGATAGCAAGACACACATACCTACATACATAGAAAATTTGTAACGAAGCACACATGCAATTTGGAAATTCTTTTTAAAATCAGTTTCTGAATCCTGTTGACAAGATGATCTATAAGGAACCATTACACCAGGGAAGATGTAATACTTTACAATCAACATTTGGTCAAAGTTCGTACGATCGCGCAGTTCCCCGCAGGAAGATAAGCTACACGTAAGAAGTTTTGTTTACGCTTTCTCAAAAGAGAAGATTTCAGAGACTGTCTAATAGGCTATTAAAATCATATGGCACTTTCAATAAATACTTTAAAGCTTCTTAAAGAAATCAGGATAAAAAAGCAACTGCTGTAATAAGCCTGTTTTAGCCATAATACATAATGCTGAAGGAAAAAATCCAGAACAGCAAACAGATATTAACAGTTAAAAGACAGTACAGCTTTTTTTCTTTCTGCAGCAATATGAACTGGTTCCCATTCCAGGGGAAATGGGAGCAAGCTCACCTCGAAACAAGTATTCACTCAATCTTAACTGCTCTATGCTCCACCCCAACCCTTACATCACTTCAATTCTAAAACACAGTCACATTTCTATATAAATCTCAGTGCAGAAATGTATTAAACATGAAAAATACTGATCCTGCAAACCTTTACGACCATGTTTAACATTAAGTGAGTGCCTAATGTCATGACATCAGAAGAGCTACCTACACGCTTAATGCTAAGCATAGGTATGTTGCAGCATCAGGCCCAAAGATGCCAACCACCACCGGGGACATCGGCTGGGTCAAAATGGTATCGTTCTGTCTGGTTTTGTAAGGTGTTCTCAACAGAAGCACATCAAGAAACAGAAACTTCCAAACCTACACACGGAAATACACTTACATGTGTGTACATATGCAATATACATTCAGTAACTTGAAAGAATAGGTTAAGACTTTATTCAGATAGACAAATTAAGGCAATTATCTTAATGTCTCTTCAAGATAAAGGACCATGTCCTCATTTGTGACCTCTAGGTTTTAAAGCTATATTTTTCAAGAGATATATTTCAATTTTCTTTATATTTTCTCCAATTAGCAATTTTGTTTGCTTAATAAATTATATCTGTGCAAGGGTGCACGCTGACAATTTGGCAGTGGCAAGAAGTCCAATTCATTTCTATAATACACACTTTTTACATTTTTGTTACAGGGTGATTAGTTCAGGACTGCATTTTGGCTTAACACAAAGTAAAAATTTAGAAGTTCTGGCCATCCAATGGACATAACTTTGTCAGTCTAGCAAGACACAGAATGCATGTTATATTTAAAGTAAAAAAAAAAAAAAAAAAAAAAAAAAAAAAAAAAAAAAAAAGATGTACTGTCCTTTCACTAAAACAGACCAAAAAAAACCAAACCACAGAATGGAAAACAGCCTTCACAAATAAGAGTGAATAATGCCCAGGTACCTTATATAGGCAGTTATTCTACAACTGTATACAGTTATTTACAATGGTGCTTTATAAAACAAACAAAAAAAATGGTAGCACTTCCTAAAAGATTTTGGAACTTTTTTCTTTTTTTTTCTTTTTTTCTTTTTTTAAAACTCCCTTGTCATAAAAGCCAACTTACATTAAAATATACTTACTACAAGACAACACAACTAACAAAATATATAATAAAACTCATACAAGTAGAAAATTCTGAGGTATTTCTGGTTTGAGGTGGTCTGTGGTCATGAAGTTTTTCATTTTTTTTCAGTTTCAACCTCGGAAGCCACGTAACGTGTGTGTGTGTTTTGTGGTTGGGTTTCTTTTTTTTTTTTTAGTTTTTATTTTTTTTAAACATTGCATGTTTTGCAAATTAAAAAAATATTTCACTGTTGAATCAGCAGCATTAGGAACATTCACTGACTAGAGCGAGTTTATGGCATAAGAAGAATAACGGTATTTCAGAATATGCACCACTTTAAGACAAAAGAGTTTCGTCACAGAGTAAGGAGAAAGCAGCGCCAAAGAAACCGGTCGGAGAGATGCTGCGATAATCACTGCTGCTGCTCAGCTGCCTCTGCATCCCGCAACTGGGCAGTTCAGAGGCTTCTTGGATGCTACAGCAGCCATCTGCCACGGGTTCAGGTATGTCCACACGCCCCTCCCCCAGCCTCAAATTAATAAGGACCAAAAAAAAAAAAATAATACAGAGCCAGTTTTCACAGTTTTCCCACCATCTGCACCAGTAGCTTGGGCTGACAGATCATCAACCTCAAGGCCAATTCTCCTGAACTTAAAGCGAGATGCAAAAAATTTTCACGTCTTCCAGTAATTTACCAAAGTGCTTCTGAAAACACACTTTCTCACTTCTTCCAATTAAACTGCTTAAAAGCATCTTTCCCATTACTAACTGGAGTGAAAAAATAAAACATAATCGTAGTTCTGCTTTGTTCTTTACTACCCAAGCTCAAGATACTGGAGGAAGAAAGACAGCGCCTTGCTTACAACCACTGGCTCTTTAACTCGGCTTTCTCCATACGCTGCAGCCGTTAATACTCTGCCCAGACTTGTCCTTCCCCTCCTCTAATGGTTACCTGAGAAGTAGCTCCATAGCAAATGATGTTTCCCCAAATGCTGCCAAGTCCAACGTCACTCTCCCCACCCCTATTCTACGCTCCCCCCTTCGATTCTACCATCAAGAATTAACATTCTCCGCCCAGTTACTTCTTTTTCCATGTTACAATGACACCCGTTAGATCCGTAAAAGACACATCTGCCGTTTGTTTTTTTTTTTGAAGCTCACTTCCAAAAGCAAAACAAAAAAAAGGAACTGAACCCAAAACCAAAACAAATTGGGGAAAAAATCCTTTTGAGGAAGGTGTATTCTTTATATAACAGTCTTAAGTTTCCTCCACAGTTTGCAGCATTGCGTTTTCTAAGATGGTAGGTGGTTTTCCTTTATGTCACAGATGCTCCGCTCAGAAGACAGACCGATAAAGAGAAACCCAGAAAACTGAATAAAATAAAAACAACTGAAGTGAGTTTGTTGAGGTTCTGAGGTACCTGCACCTTTTCTGCATTCATTAGTCGGCACCTGAATGCTTGCTGAAATGTCCATTTTTTTAATACAGTAGAGCAATGTGCTGGTAAAATTGATCCAATCCAAAAAAATAATAATAATAATAATAACAATAATAATAAAAAGTCAAGATAAAATAGCAGCTGCATTCATGTGTTTGTTGGATTTTTGTGGTTTTGTTTTTTGTGTGGGTTTTTTTAAAACTTTTTTTCTTTTTCTTTTTCTTTTTTTTTTTTTAAATCCACTGAGTCTGGAAAGACAAAAGCGAACTAGGGCTTAGATACTAGACTCTTTGGGCGGCAAGTCCACGTTGGTGACGGACGTCACGATGGAGACGAGGCAGTCCGAGGTAGTGCCGTTTACGGATTTGCGGATCTGCGCAATGCGTTCCTCGACACAGCCCGCCGAGAGCCGAGCCTCTGCATCGTGGTCCCAGCACTCTTCAATGGTCACGCAGAGCTGCGCCAAGCCCTGCAGACAACAAGGGGGAGAAAGCACCATCAGCAACAAAGTCAGCTCCGGGAACGGTCCTTGCAGCGGACGGGGAGGTCCACTTCACACAGCTTTATTAATGCTGTAAAGAAAAACCTAAGAATAATTTTTTCCACGGTATATAAATTACCATTACATAAGCTCCGCAAATTACTCTAAGTAAGTGTTTTCAGGTTTTTCTTAAGCTTCTGCTTTCTAAGGCTGTAGGGCCTGGTCACACACAGCTTGCTTTCATAGCCCCAGAAATACTTCTTTTCATATCAGAGTACCTCCCGAGATTCAGCAGTAAAAGCTTTCAAAGACATCAGGTATTATTATTCCCATGATAAAACCATGAGAGCTGGCAGCACTGTATCAGTTACTACGAAACCGTTGCTTTGTTTGCAACCATTTCCGTAGATATCCCCAAAATAACTGAATTCAACAGCGCTGGAAGGGCACAGTTCTTATCCGAAGCCTCGTTTGAACTGGAGCACTCATCCTTCTCTAAAACCCGCAGCTCTCCTTGACTTCTAGGTAATGAGTTAGTACACCTGAGTCTGGCCAAAACCGTGGCAGTTTGGTCACAATAGAGGCATTTAGCTTCTTACTGAAGCTCTGTGAGATTTTATCATCTGCTCAGTTTCCCAGTCTGACAAAAATCATCTCTTTTATTAAAAAGACAAGCCTGCAATGATCTACCTCTGGGAAGCCCACGCTGCATTTTGCTTCACTGTCTGCGTGCCTTCACGTCTAATTAATTTTTCCTCAAAAAATTATTCAGGACTTGCATGCTACCTAGCTTGTGAGGACCGTGACTCCAACAGTACGGATCATTTTCTTAATGAAAGGGACTTTATTTTCCATTCTTTCACCACATTAAGAGAGCCCTACTAAACCACCACACGCTCCACATTCAGCACTGTCTGACTTCAATCAGGTGGTTTACTCTATAAATAGAAGGGACAAATGGAAAGAGGAGCATGAAGGTGTTGAGCAACCCATTGCTCCCCGGTGCTGACTCTCTCTAGCTCTGAGGAGCAGGTCCGTGCACCACGGTGGACTGTTAGCTTCCTTCTGAAGCTAACAAGTGATGCATAACCACATCCCTTATTCCCATCACACAGGAAAACACTTTCCACTCTTAACCAGGAGGGACGTACGGGGTGTTTCAGCCAGTGATCCTTGAACACGGGGCGCATCTTCTTGTGAACCACCACTTCTTGTAGGTCCTCAAGGGATGGGTGCTGACCTATTTCTTCTTCGAAAGGCAGCATGTATTCATCCACTGGACCTAAGGTGCACATGGAGAACCGGGTTACTACAGAAATGTCCTTCGCAGAGCTACATCCTCCGCATGCATGAGCGAGCTGCGGCTCCTGAGCAACCTCAACCCACCAAAGCAAAGCCTGAAGTTCACATGTCATTGCAGACAAATGTGATTTACATTCCTCCTGCACAAGGGACTTTGCCGTCCCTGCTGCTTGTCTGGCCATGCATTTTCCACCTCGTCGAGTTCCGAATCCAAACCCCCAGCTGGGCCTCCCAATTCCACTGCTTTCCTTGAGGAGGCTTGCCAGGTAGTCCGCGATTTATTTTAATAGAAAGAGCAAATCAGCTCATCCTCCTCCCATTTTAGCATAGCAATTCAACACACAATAACCTAGAGAAAGGTTTCAGCATGAGCATATTAGGCACTGACCTGCAAGGTCAAGCATATACCACACATGTAATTTCTTTCTTTGTGATCTGGATTGTTCATAGGTTTGAGTCAGCCCTGACACGCTGGGGTCAGATGCACTTGTCCCAAGTACCAGCTCCTAAGTGCAAAATGATTTCTGAATGCTTTAGTTATACCAGTTATGGCTGTGAGCTGCCCTGGGCCATGGGAACGAGACAACTGTTATGAGTATCAGTGCAGACACTGGACGGGAGCAATAACTTCTGCTTCTTGAAACGTCATTTGGCTTGTGGCAAAGTGTGGATGTTCTCTCACAAAACGGCATCCCGGCTTAACTGATGGGCTTTCTCAAGGTGCCCCACGGCATCACTTACGGTTTCTTGGTAGCAAAGAGCGTCCTCTTTCAAGAGTGGAGCTATTTCAAGAGGGCCCTTTCAGACTAAAATAAGAGCTGACCACTTTAACTGGTCACAAACTGCTAACACCAAGAACATGATATTTAGTTACTCTAAAAAAAATTAAATCACTAAAACAGCTTATCATTATTCTTGTTTACACAATGCCAGTCACTAAACTGAACTGAAACACTCATTGCAAAGCATGGCATAATCACGCTCGCAAGCTTTCCTTCCTCTTCCTCCAAGAGGAATCAAGGCTACGAAGAGCTGCGCTGGCAATCCCCAAGCCAAATCTGCTGTTTACACAACATCACTTCTGAGCTAGAAGCGCAGATGAGGTTCAGCGTTAACTCCTCATCATCCCAAAGGAAGCCTTTCCTTTGATTTAACGATGCTGTGTATGACATCTGGAGTACCTTGGCCAGCTGCTGCCTGAGAAGAGTTGGAAGGAGATCACAAAGGTGACAGGCAAAAATCCAAGTGGATATTTGGGGGGCCTCAACAGAGAAGGGTTATTCCTAGATGAATGACCTGGGGAGCCCTGATTCACCCCACTTTGCTCCTATGACTCTGTTCCTCTGGCATTTTATCTGGTTAGATAGTAAATTCTTTTACCACACCCCTATGCAGGCATCCTAATTATAATCAAACTCCTCAGTTCTGCTGTAATACTAACAGAAACATTTGAGGTCCGGGTGAGGTACTGTTAATTTATGAAATTGATATTCAGTCCAGAGCACCCACATGTATACAAGAAGAAAGAAGTTGTAGCAAGCAGTTTTGGAGCTACTACAATGAAATGATTGCTTCTCTGACCAGGGGCAAATGGCAAGGGTGTCACCAAAGGGCAGGTGTGCTATTTGCACAGAAAAGATGCCCCATTTTGCAGCATCATTTTAAGATTAAAAAAACTGAGAATGGAGACACTATGAAAGGTCATTCTTTTGGATCATTCAGCAGAAAGTGAGACCCTCCAAAGTTGTAGAAGGAACAACAAACTCAGCCCACTGCTGAGAGAGGGCTTGAAAGTCAAAATTAATGATACCTAATGACTTACGATAGCAGGGAAATGGGCTTGCTGACCCACAGAGATCCTCCAAGCCCTGTGTTCCTGCTATTTCAATGAGGTGCTTCACTTCTGGACTTTCCATTCAGGCTACCACACTGCCCTGCAGAAGTGAGGTGTGACAGCCAAGCCAGAGCTGAGCACCACTCTCCTCCAGAGCTCAAAGACTTCCTTGGTCACAGGCAGGAACGCAGGGTGCCAGGAAGGGCAGCACAGAGCAGGCTCAGGGCTAAAGGACACCTACCACTGACAGAGGAATCACCTCCTACTTCTTCCTCTGAGTTCTCAGACAATTTGCAAAGTAACCGGCGTTGTTAAAAGCACATGGAGACTTGAACACTACAAAGGTTATTATCTACAGAGAATGATAGCTTATGTTAAAAAACAAGCAAAGTTAGCTGCTTAATAAAAATACAGCATTATTTTTTTAAACAAAGCCAGGCCCACTCTCTGGAGAACAAAATCATGCTGAAATAGAGCCCTCCCCAGGGAAGGGATGATCTTTATTCTTACCATCAACTGCTCTACATCTGGAGACTAGCTCCCACAACACCAGTCCCATTGCATACATGTCTATTCTCAGGAAGGCGTCTCGTTGGAAGTTGATTGCTCCCTCTAAGACTTCGGGAGCCATATACCTCCTTGTTCCCACCTACAGAGAGAGACAAAAAACAACTCAAGTTGCATTCCGGTTGGGCCCGTCAGCCTCCGCTGCCTGGAGATGAATGACAGCTGGTTTCATTAGCCTTAAGGCTACTTCTGCTAAAGTTACACCTCACTTGGAAAAACAAGCAAAAGGGGGCTGTTTTTTCTGACAAGGATTCTCATTAAGATCACTCAAGTGTAGATAAGCCACCTGATGGAAAAAGCCAAAGTGCATGGCTACGTGTGATATTCATTCAGTGTACGCTACAAGTCTGATTCAAATGCAGCGCGGCACGATGAGTGGAGATGAAATCCTGCCTTCTCTGCGTCCCACTGCATCTACAAGGATGCCGTGAGGTTATGCTGCCAGAAAATTAAAAGGGCCAAAGCCCATCTAGAACTTAATCTGGCTACTGCCGCAGAAGATGATAAAAGATGTTTCCATAAATACATTGGCAACTAAAGGAGGGCTAAGGAGAATCTCCATCATTCACTGGATATGGGAGGGAAACATAGTGACAAAGGATGAGGAAAAGGCTGAGGTATTTCATGCCTTTGCCTCAGTCTTTAATAGCAAGGCCAGTTGTTCCCTGGGTACCCAGCCCCCTGTGATGGCAGACAGGGATGGGGAGCAGAATGAAGCCTCCATAATCCAAGGGGAAATGGTTAGCAACCTGCTGCACCACTTAGATACACACAAGCCTATGGGCCCAGATGGGATCTGGCACTGGTGAGGCCGCACCTCGAATCCTGGGTTCAGTGTTGGGTCCCTCACTACAAGAAAGACATTGAGGTGCTGGAGTGTGTCCAGAGAAGGGAACGGAGCTGGGGAAGGGTCTGGAGCACAAGTGCTGTGAGGAGCAGCTGAGGGAGCTGGGGGTGTTCAGCCTGGAGAAGAGGAGGCCCAGGGGTGACCTTATGGCTCTCTATAGCTACCTGAAAGGAGGTTGCGGGGTGGTGGGGGGTGTTGGTTGCTGTTCCCAAGTGACAAGTGATAGGACAAGAAGCAACAGCCTCAACTTGCACCAGGGGAGGTTTAGATTGGATATTAGGAAAAAATTATTCACTGAAGGAGTGGTCAAGTGCTTGAACAGGCTGGGCCGG